GGGGGGGGGAGGGGAAGCCTTAATGGAACCTCAAACTTGGCTCAATTAATCTCATCGAGACTACAAGCCTGACTCAATCAGCCTTAAAATTTTTGTACGGGAAAGAAAGAAGGTAGAAGTCCTGAACAACAGCACTGAATATCATTCAGGGCTACCCAGTCAACTTTTTTCAAGAAACCTCGGAATGAGTCAAATTTGAGATTTCATCGTAAAATGCCCTCCGGCACATGTCTATTCCACTATTTCATTGAAGTTAACTGAGACAAGTTCTATTCCAAACAAAAAAAAAAAAAATCAAAACGATGAACCTCATATCATCTGAGAGAACAAGATGACTGCTGTGAGCGAATGTTTGGTGCCAAAATTCGGCAAAATGGTGTCGTAGACGAACTGTGCGAAGCCCTCCAATCAACAGGGGTTCCAGTTGGCGAAGCAACGATGAGCAATACGGTCCCGAGTACAATTTTTTCAAAACATCGAGAGCCGTTTTAACAAGCGTAAAAATCTGAAAATGACGGAATTCAGTTACACAAGAGATAATGATAATGAAAAGGAAATCGTTTGTCTGTAGTTACAGATATCAAAAATACCAAGAGCGTTTTTCAGATAGCCAATATATCAAACCCAAAGGCAGATCCAGGGCGGACTTCTGGCTCACAGACAACGAAGGAGGAAGGGTAGGGGGAGAATAGGGCTCCTGGGGAGGTGGGAGGGATAAGTCTCCTCTCACCCTGGATCTATCCGAGAACTAGGAATAGAGTTGTAACACTGCTATTTAGAATTACTTTAGGTTTTAGCTTACTTCAGTTTTAGCTTTAAACCCGGGCTTTCACAGCCTGCCCCCCACCCCTTCCCTCTCTGGATTCGCCTATAATCAAATCCGAGTTGACCTGTTAAAAAGCGAAATGCAGTTATTGAATAGTAGAGTAGAAGGATTCGACTTAAGTGTCATGCACAGAAAGATATTTTACGATGCAGTCTCTCTGTGTGTTTCATCCCTTAGCTGTAAACACAGGCCGCACTGTGCATGTGGGTAGGAGTGGGAATCGTCAGTACAGCCTCCTACCCGCCTTGTATTGAAGGGACATGTAACTGCTTTGCAAGACGGAGACTTGAAAGAAAAAGAGAGAGAGTGGAAAAGTGCAGCAGCATGAAAGCAGTAAGAGTGTGGAGGAAACTAACATATGATATGGGCAGCAATTTTCTAAAACATTACTTTTGCCTGATGCTTGTGGAACATTTGGCAGTTCTTGTCTGATGCTAGCGCAATACTGTTGGCCAAAAATTTCGTCAAAGCACTGATCACAAGCATGAAATGTGCCGGTTTGGTCATCGCGGATATCAGGCATGTTGCCGCATCCAGTTCACTGAGCACCGATTTCGACAGCAATTCCATTGCAATGCCCTGAAGATATATTGCTGATGAAATAGAAAGGGTAAAAAGGACTTTCATGGAGGTCCAACCAAGAAGTGATCATTTCAAATAGGAATGTCAGCGTTGTGGTAGACGAGGGTTGGTACGTCTTACCCCGCCTTGCTCCAACCTTTTAATGCTGTCAATTTGATTATTTTCATTAGCATTTCAGTAGCATTCCAAAATTTTCCAGTACTTGGTAATGAAAACCTCAGTAGTACCATGAGTGCCAGTGTAAAATATGTAGCTCAAGAAACTTCTTATGAAGTCGTAAAAATTTAGAGTGTTAAACTAAGGGGAAAATGGACGGTTCAGGTGAAGCGGCCGACCGGATGAAATTGCAAAAGTTTTTTTCCCGGCCTATGATTGGCCGAAATAAAAGTCAAAACAAAAACGCCGATTTCATTCAGCGTATCCTAGGATTTTAGTGATTTCGGTGATCCTTTTATTTGAAATTCGTGAAAGCAATTCACCCTCAAAGCAGCATATCAGAGGAATTAGGTCCGTAAAATCCTATCACTAGAAAAAGCATGTAATAATATGATGCTCAGCACCCAAACGCTCTAGCAAAACTGCGCCCGCTACGTAGCAGCATTCCTAGTACCATCATTAATATGCACTGGCGGATCGAGGAGGGGGGGG